GTCAGAAGAGTAGAGGAAAAACTGTAGTGGATTATTTCTCACAAACAGAGAAATCCACAAAATTCCAAGAGGGGAAGACACCTACTGCAACAAACACCTACCCTCATTAGTAAAAAATGGTAACTGATAATTGCCCAAAAACTATGGACTGTTACATGTGTGGATGGCTTTGCCTGTCACTCCCTGAGGTGCTTGTGTTGCGCCATCCGTCACAAACTAGAAAATTACAACTTTGATTATGTGATACCAGCCATGAGAATCTTTGCAAGAAATACAGAAGCCATTTGAAAAAGATGTTGCATAATCCTGTCACCACTGGTTTGTTTGGCTGGTTTAGGGAACAGTTAAAGGCACTGAACCCAATGCCAGCATGCTCCAGTTAACAAAAACAGCCAGCCCTCTGAACTGGTTTCTTCCTGATTTCTTCAACATACCATTCAACTGTGAATTTGTTTTCCAGTCCAGAAAAGTGTGAGTGACCCGAGATCGTTATTAATCCACAACAGTGCTTTCACCTTTTTCAAGTGGTCAGATTGAATAGGTTTAAACTGTGAATTGTTTGGTCCATAGCATGTACAGCTGATATTCCACAATCTAATTCCAATAGTGCCAACCCTTGACTAACCTTGTATTTCTATTCTGAAGTTTTAAGCAACTTGTTACGGGGCATTATTGTGCCCTTGAGATTGAAACAGGAGCCTGTTCCTCCATCGGACTGGACTAAACTAAGCTTTTGTAAGCTTTTGAACAGCAATACCACTTTGTTGGCTCTGAGTTGTGCGCAGTTTGCTGGCATTCTGTTGCATATCCTTTTAAGTTAAAAGATTTATGCTTCCATACTTGTCATATTAACAAATCCCATGACATCCAAACTAGTATTAAAATCAGTCCGTGTACAATCTATTAAGTACCTTGTTCCCATTAACTGGCACATAACCTTCTCTCCCAGCCCACTTCTTCAGATCTGTGGTCTTGAGCGCGTGATTTGTAGCCACACGGAAGGGAGCGTAGACATCATCGATGACATTGTTGGACCCATACAGGATGAGGAGTGTCATGAGGACGAAGATGGCCGCCAAGATCACCATCCTGTGGCTCTGTTGTCCCTGCAGAGTGAACAGCGAAAGCTAATTTACACAACCAACTTACTTTATTCTTATAATTATTGTATTTTTTTTTTTACTCCGCAACTTTATTTAACAGCTATAGTTGTTAGTAAATTTTGATTTTGCACTCAAAACCTATGAGGAGCTTATAAAATATGGTGGATTATTATGGATTAAACTGTCCAACAGTATATAAACTGCAACTATTTTAGCAACTGATTAGCCATTTAACTCGCTTTTAATGCAAAGTTCATGGTTTCATTATTATTCTGCATTCCCTTGTACTAAATTATCCATTCATTAGCTTTAACTTATTCTTTAGGGAGACAATCCCAGCTAACACAGGGCAAAGAGACAGGATACACTCTGGACATGACACACATACATATGCACAGTGCCGCCCTTTGTCCTAATGCAAACTTAATGATTATGATTAAATCATCAAAAATACATTTATATTATTATATAAATGTAATATTACACCATCATATTACATTTACTCAAGACGATAAAGAACAGAGCAAATGTGATGGAGCAAGATACCAAATGCATACTTCTTTTTGTTTTATTTTTAATGTAATAAAACAGTGTCAATCTTAGTATCTGTGCTGGAATACATCTTTAATGATTAATAATATTCTAATTATATTATATATAATGGCCTACTGTAACTTTTGATACTTACAGTGCATTTTCCAGATGATACTACAAGATTCTTATATTTAGTAACACTTGTAAACATAATGCCAAAGATAAAAACCTGCGCACTTAACACTAATAATATTATATATGAATATATATGAAGGGCAAGAGGTCTGAGGGCCACACCCCATCTGTCTTACCTTGCCACTGAGCTTGAGCCCCATGCTTCCCGATCAGGCTGTGTACCAACACACTGGCTGCGACTGTCTGTCATCATAACTGACAGGAGGAGACACACACACACACGCACACACACACACACACTGTAGATTGAAATCCTTAACAAAATCTTCATTTTACAGCACAAAATGTACATATTTTATAGTTTTTTGATAGATCACTTTACATGTCAGTATCGCAGCGACGTTTCAACAATACGTAAAAACAATTTAATTACATAGCGGGGCATATGTTAATTTAGCTTTACCTCATATTACCTAACGCCACATAACGCTGCAGTCAATGCAATCTAATATGTTATTATTATTATTTTCCTTAAATACAAATACCATCCTACGCAGCAGCTCCCCTCCCGTTGCTGGAGTCCCACCTTTTAGCGAGGAGTCATTTAAAATCAGTAAATAAAAACAACAACATCCCCGCTGATGTGATTAAAGGTATAAAACTAACATGAGCTAATAATAACGGGATAATCCGGTTTACCGTTTCATGGCCTGTGCGGTCCTGGTGTTTTTTGAGGTCTCCCTCATCTCTCGTCGTCCCCCATCTTCCTGCACCACTTGCTGACGTCACCGCTACGTCTCTCACTGCAGCACAGTTATGGTGCTGCCCCAGTCATAATAAACAACAATGCTGGTTTATTCTTAAACAGGATTTAATGGGTGTTCCCCGGATTTAGGGTTAATTAGTGGATTCTCTTTCAGGATGGGTGTGGACAGGGTGCTTCCTAAATAATACAAAGCAATAACAGTACAGAGAAGCTGATAAACTGCACGGTGAACACAATAACTGCAGGAAGTTTGTGTAAAACGAGTGATTTGGATCAGATTATATTACATTTTAAGGAACTTTTTTATACAATTCTGTCTGTATTATGTATATTTTAACAGTCATGCATATTTAATAGGCTTCTTTTTCTCCCTGATGCTGGGCCATTGTTCTATTTGCTCCAACTGTGTTTAACAGAGAGTGAAGGCTCTGTGAATATGGCTCAGTTTAGATCTTAAATAATAATGTAAACTTCTAAAATAACAATTTCGTTTCGTTTTCTTCACATAAATTAAGCAAATATTGAGATATAAGCCAACTGTATATTTTTAAAGTTTTCTTACACCCCTTAAAATCAAGAAGGCCTCATGACCCCCTGTAAAGCTTTGACAACCTGCGGCCCCTAAATTGGGAACCACTGGGTTAGGGGATTTATGTGAAAAATACCCTTAAAACGGACTAAAGCCCTATATTGGGTAGTAATGGATGGTCAATTTAAAGGGATTTTTATCCCTTTACAGCATCATGGGGCAAATAATCCAATAAAATACCTTATGTTACAATCAATTCAAAATACCTACATCACATGATTGTTAATGGGTGGACTAATGCAATTTTAAGGTTACAATAAGTGGCGATATATTTATAAAACAGACATTAAAATGAATTTGAAACAAAAAATTAAATAGTGTGTAAAGTTAGTACGTGCCCAAACCATCTTGGGAAGAAGTCTCACCAGTGGAAACGCGTGTGTAGAGCATTTAATTGAGTTCACATGTGTAGATACAAGTCAAGAGGAACAGAGGTAATGTCGGTTTGTAAAATCAAGCTCACACACAAGCAGACAGTGTTTGACAGCAGGTTTTATTCATGTTGACCCACCCGTCTGCGGCGACCGGCGGTTTACATTCAAGTTTCACTTCACTACGCAAGTAGACTACTCAAAGTCAATAATAATACATTTTAATTCCAAGGATTCATGTCTGAAATGTACTTGACAGTGAAATTATTTGACACAGTAGTTTGCTCAGTAGTGCAAATACTATTACGGTCTTTGGAATAAGTCACAAAATAAGCATTATGCAACTGAAAAGGCAGCACTATGTTTTTTTTAAATTGTAAACAGGTAGCAAAATATAAAGGGTAAACAATTACCAAGTAGTTGTCTGAAGACAAGTAATAAATGTTGTGTGCACGGTATATCGGGCCTGTTATATTCAAGGTTAACCAAGAATCCTATTCTTAGCCTTTAACCACAAATTCTGCAGATTTCTGTCAGAGGGTGACACTCAGTGGTGGAACTGCACCAGTGCAAATATCCCATCAGCATTTTAAAGAAACCTGGTGGATCTCTATACCCTCTCCCCTCGAACACAGATAACACACACCAACCACAAAGATCTACAGGCTGTTTGTATGCTCTTATCACTCACATTGTATTTAATACTGAGTTTGTTAACACTGTGGGCTGCATATCAGTGGACTGCAGCTGTTACATTTTAATATTCTCTGCTCTGTGGTTGGTGCAGTATACTCATGACACAACACAACACAACTGCAAACTGAACGATCACTCTTTGGGTTAAATGGCACTCCCAATGGCAATAACTGAACACTGTTCACATTAACACATTGGTTAAATGATTAGCTTACTACTACCACCACCACAAGCTTTAAAACACTGTAAATGGCTGCAGTCAGGGCAAGTATTCAGCATAAAGATGCAATATCAAACTTTACAAAAATAGCAGTAAGTAGTTTATGAAGACATGAAGTGTCAGCCTGAAGCTGTATGACCCAGTTTGTTCATTTGTTGTTGCTGGTGTAAACTAGAACTGCTAGAGTTGACGCCCAAAGCCACACCATAGACAGGCCACAACAAAAACATCAGAGGAAAGAAAAAAAGGATCATCAAATGAAATGTGCCTCAAACAAGACTTTGATTTTTAAACTAGACTGTCAATGGTTTGCTATGAACATGACTCTGCTTCAAGGCAGACATGTCACCGAGAAGAGCGTCATGTTTTGTGGCAAAATACTGACCAACTTACAGGGAGGAGAGCAGGAAAAACAATACTGGAGCTGAAAAGATTCAATTAATCAATTAGGCGCTCCGCAGGACAATAATTTCTTTTCTTTACACAAAAATGGCAGAAATTCTCTGGTTCCATAAACTGAATAATATAAATAATAATATTTTAATATTAATTTAATTATTATTTTTTATATTACGGTTGAACAAAAGAAGTCATTTAAATACGTCAACTTGAGTTCCGTAGAAACTGGGATTTTTGACAATTTGTAGACCAAAGAATTAACTGATTAACTGAGAAAATAAACACCAGATTAATCACAAATAATTGTTAGTTGCAGCCCTAGAAAACACACTATGTGTATCATAGAGTAAAAGGTGCATATTGTAGCTACAGGCCAGATAGCAGCATAAAATAAAACATTGTGCAGAATAAAACAAAGTCAAGGCACAGATATAAAGAAATTAAAAACTGTAAGCTTTGGTATAAACTGGTTTTAGTGTCTAGTTTAGTGGCTTAATATTCTTCATCAGTATCTATACTGATATATGGCTATACAATACAGACGTATTTCGTAATACTGAGGGCGTTACCACTTAAATTCTGGTAATTTTTAATCTTAAGCATAGAAACAAACTACTATTTTACGTTTATGGTGGATACAGATAACTGTATCCACTATTCACTAGTATCAAATGGGCCCTTTTTCTACTTGAAAAACTGTTGAGTTGGTAAAAAAGTGGAATAAAAGAAGTGCCCACCAGTAAAAATGCCATGTGCTTGATAAAGTTCCTGCTCAGGTAACACTAAAAATCTTCAGCAAAGACGACCAAAAGCCAGCAAACGTGAATACTACTGTACGGTCGAGGAACATCTCCCTCTGTCTCCTCCTTTAGAGGCTCCATGTTGGGTGTTTAAACACCATCTTGTGCCGCGTCGCCCATCTGGCATAGATGGCCTTCTCAGTGATGAAGCGATGACCCCCGCGCTGTGTGTGCTCGTGGACCCTGTACATCCTGCACTCGTCGATTCGGTTCCTCTCGTAGTAATGGTAAGGAACAACACTGTGATTGGCTCGACTGTCAGAGGAGGAGCACGGGAGGAGGTAGAAGGTTATTTACAAAACTTAAAGATAAAAAGAAAAGCTTGATTATGATCGTATAGGTCATGAAATTGTGCCTCACCTGCAGTAGTTGTCATCAATCATTCCGTAAACATGGATGCTGTCACACATGTCTATAGCCAGAATCATTGTGAAGAATCCTGTACTGAGAAACGCCCCCGTCTTCATTCTGAGTGACAAGACAGCAAACATCTGCTGTTATAAACTCTTAAAAGACTAAAATAAAAGCCCAAAACTGGGACCAGTCATTAACTGCACATTACATCATCACTGTCCACATTACTATACAGCACACTCACTGTAAATGACACTAATATCAGTGGTTGACTGTAACTAAGTAAGTACATTTACTGAAGTACTGTACATTTATGATACTTTACCCTTCTACTCCACTACCTTTATTTGATCACATGTATTTCTTTACGACTAGTGACTTTCCAGATCATTAATACAAAATAGAAAATCAATATAACATGCAGTATAACGCTGGAAAAAAATGCTTGTGGTAATATATTGGTCTCACTGGAAAGTTTATCCAGCAGAGACTGCTGTGATTTACAGTGATGTGGTCAGTAGCAGAGTAGTTTGTGATTCTTATGCACCAAAGTACCAAAGCAAATTCCTCCTATGTGAAAACTTACTTGGCAATGAACCTGATTCTGATTCATATGCGTATATTTGCATTGGTGCAAAATCAGTTCACAATCCACATAGAAAAGGTCTATTTTCATCCCAGCAGTCAGTAATTGGTACATTTATATATGATTATATATGATTCTGAAATAGGCCATTCTGCACAATGAGTACTTTAGTTTTAATACTTCTTCCACCACTATCCAATACATAGTGTGTGGCTCATAACTAAAATGTGCAAAGTTTACGTTTCAGTGTGTATTTTGTTATTTCCTCTTATTTTGAAGGAACAGTAATGGTGGATATAAAAAAAAAAAGATAAGAGTAATCTCATACTGTACCTGTTTTTTCCAGTTTCATTCTGAAACACACTGTCACAGTACTGAATCTTCTCTCTGGTCACAGCGTAGATTCTCACATTCGGATACTTTTTCGCTATTTTCAGGAGAGTATTGAAGATGCGTCCTTTCCCGTCTTGCCTCATGTTCCTCTCGGGACCCCAGAACACATACGTGGTGTCTGCTGATTTCTGGAAGTAGTAGAGCTCGTTTTTCACCAACAGGGGAACACTGGTGTGAGACACAACCCGAACAGTGGTGCGGTTCCCTACGTCTTTCTCATACCCCCGCGTGGGTGCATTGTTCATCCGGATCACGCATCCGATCTTGTCTATCTCCTCTCCGACGCCAGCGCCGATCATCTGACCCGAGCTGGAGACCAAGGCACACTGGCTGCAGTGCATGTCCAGGAACTGTTGAGAGAGAAGAGGCCCAAATAAGAAGAGTTTTAGGTTTAGGTTTCTGTAAGTAAATACAGTAAATTAATGTCAGATGAACTCTAAATAAAACATTTAATGCTATTAATTATATAAAAGTGAATATAGAAGTGCATGTTACAATGTTTAGTTCAGATTGGTTAAGTTTGCACACTGCTTGGAGTAGCAGAAGACGTTTAAACCGTTTATCCAAGACTTTAAACTAACTAATTCAACTATTTATTAATTTCTTTTAGCCCAGCAAACATGCAGACCAACTGTGAGTTTAGCGTGGGCAGGTGTAAGGAGATTGGGACAAGCACTTTCACTATTTTCTAACATATTATTGAACAAATGATTGATCAACTAATCAATTAATTGAGAATAAATCATTAAGATACGACAATATTAAGATCATATAGTCTTTATGTATCTCACACTGGGGAAATGTACTTGTTACCGCAGCTCAAGATGCAACACAACACAATAAATAAGAGAAAAATACAGTAATATAAATAGAAAATATGAGTTATATGTACACTCCATACACCTTTTATATATACACAGATATGTTTGATTGGAAGGTTAATCAATAAGAAAGATCTTTTGTTTATTTTCAGCCTTATTCCTGACCAGTATCACAGCAAGATACCAAAACAGCACGTTATCTATAAAAAGTGAAGGATCCAAACCTATATTAAGTGCCACCATTATAGCTGAGCTTTGACTTAAACCCAAACCCATGTGGATGCCGTACTTTGTGTAACCCCCAGCCCTGCCCCTCTCACCTGGTCCACCTTGCCCGGGGTGATCCTCATATAACCCCTGAGGCCGGTGCTCTGCACAGCAGGCCACGGCCCGTCCCGTCTGATCACATGTCCGAACCAAAACAACAGAGGAAGGCTCAGGCTAACCAGGCAAAGCCAGCGGAGCGTCTGGAAGGAAGGGGGGAAAGATAAAGTGGCGCAGAGACGCTGAAGGATGCATATATAAGAGTTCACACACAATTACAGTTACAATAATAAAACAACAGACTCGTTCTTACCAGAGATTTCATGTCAAGGCCTTTGGGAAAGCCCTGCTCCAGAGAGCCAGGCGGCAGTCATTTTACCAGCCGCTTAACGTGAGGCAGAGGCGGCGAGAGAGACGAGCCGAGCCATGGACGAGCCCCTGATCAACAGGATTCATATTTATAGATTTTAACTGCTGGCCTCGGTCAATTCTGGCGAGTGCTCTCAAGACAGACGGACGGACGACGGCTCCGCTCTTATTGTCTCATCCACAGCATGTTTTAGTTTAAAATGAAATATGTTCAGTTGTTGTATTGTTATGTTACCCGGTGTGTTGACAGAGTAGCCCACTTATGATTTCCAGGATGCGCACTGTCTCCTACTATCCAGCTTCCGGTCCGACTTTTTCCACAACAAAAGTGTCATCTGAGCGATTTGAACACACGCAACACAAAGTACAGACCGGTAAATGTATGTTTAGACAAATAAACGTGGCCTTAAATGTTATGTGTACTTAGATAAAGTACGTACAACACGCGTTGAAAACTCCTACGTAAGAGATATAGGTCAACGCACTTGTTGTACCTGCCATGCTTTTATTCTGAAAGCAAGATGCCACAACCGGAAACAGCTGTATTAGATTATTGTTGTGAACTTAACCCAGTTCTGGAAACTTTGAGATGCCGCCTTCAGGTGCCACTCGGAAATTGACCTTTCCATAATACAAAGTCGCAGAAATTACTGTACTAAAAAAAGACCAGTCATCCCCTACATATTAAATATTTATTAACGCTTGTTTACAAAGGTATTACAAGTTTTATAACATAACTAGACAAATATGTTTCTGTTAAATACTAAATACTACTAAATACTGGCCAAAATGTAATTTTACGCCCAGGTGCAAAACTACCAAGAAAATAATATAATAAATAATTATTCAGGTCTTATACATGTATCTTAATATAAGTAACTCATCAGCTTATAACAAACACAATGTATTTACATGCTATTTTAACTGAAATGTTGTCAAATACAAACACCACAAAAAAACTTTACCTTTTTGATTTTTTGCTCATGCGGTGGTGGGGGACGATGCTTTATGATCTACAACCTGATTGGTTCGCGCCCCCTCTCACCTTCCATCCGATTGGTCGAGCGGGAATCAACACCCGCTACTCCTCTCCCCATTGGCTGGTGGTCGCGTCAGTAATCCTCGGTTTTTCTAAACGCCTTCAGCCCCCCGAGCAAAAAAGCTAGTGTGCGGCTTTCATTCACTGTGACACGCGAATGTCCTTTCCTTTTCCTCGGATACTCACGGTATGTACATATGTGAGGGGTTATCTTATTAGTCGGGCCGCCGGTGAGCGACGCAGAGCCGCTGCAGCCACCGACGTGCCACCGACAGACAACCGGAGGATGTCTGTGATGTTGAAGTGACAGATGAGGCTGAGCTAAGTGTGCTAGCTGACGTTAGCGTGCGTTGCCTGTGAGGACTGCCGCCTACTTGCTAATGGAGATATTTGGCCTGTCACTAGCAGTTGAATTTAAAGACAGAAAGCTCAGATTTGTCATGTGTTTTACGTGAAATCAGAGCGTTTTATTCCTGCTTTTTTATATAGCTGCCTGGACGTGCTCACCGCCTGGCTTGCTGTTCACCTTTTAGTTAAGTCTCCAGTCAACTAGCAGCTCCCTCCATGATCAATACCTGTCCTGTCTGACTGGAAAACTGTTGTTTATTCTGTTGATTTATTAATGAATTAGTCAGGTTTTGCTCCAAAGAGCGAGACAATGTCAGCCAGTGTCATGTTGTAGTCGCACCTGCTGTCTGTCAGTAGGTGTAGGGCAGGCTGGTCCAGACAGCTGCAAACCAGACAGTGTAGATTGTTAAGTAGCTGGAAGAATGTCAAGTTGCCCTGCTGATTAACAGTTAATGCGAGCTTGATTTTCCCAGCTTAAACCATGGACCTTTGGAAGTTAACTCTCTATTTGAGTCCAGAGGGTTTTGCCCTGCAGGCGACAGCCCTGATAATTATGCCTGTTGATATCTTTATTATCACAAGGCCTGTGCAAGGTGATGGGAAGAGGCTGGCGCACTCATAATTTCAATTTCAAACTCGTGTCTTATCCCTCGTAGGGCTATAAATCGACAGTCAGACACTGGACTAGTGTGGAGTACAAGCCCAGGAGTGGATGACGACAGGCGGTTCATCAGCAAGCCCTGAGCTGGCTGATCTCAGAGCAGAGAGGACACCTGGTTTACGGCGGATGTGAGGGAGCTTTCACGAGCTGCGGCCTGAAGGCATTTTGATTTCTGAGATGTCAGTCAAACAACCGGACGGGATGTCCATTGCCCAGGCTTTGGCCATGACCGTAGCAGAGATCCCGGTGTTTCTCTATTCCACATTTGGGCAGGTAAACTTGCACGTACAGCTGAGTTTTGCATCTCCATACACAAACACTATTCGCTATCTGGTGTAGACTCGTTCAATAAAAGATAAGTAATAACACTGGCTATTCATGTTTTATAGGGCCCTTTTATGTTGACAGTTCATGTGTGCCTCTCCTGCTTTCAGTCCATATTTTCACAGCTAAAGCTTACACCAAGCTTGAAGAAGGTGCTGTTTGCCACAGCGCTGGGCAGCGTAGCTCTGGCTCTCACCGCTCATCAGCTGAAAAGGCGAGGGAGAAAAAGGAAGCAGGCAACACAAGGGAAGGAGGGCCAGAAGACGGTGGGAATACCTGAGGCGCTGATAAAGACGGGAAGACCCTCGTCATTAAAGAGAGGTGTGCATGACTTAATGCTTCATTTTAATCTTGCTTTGTGGCTTATCAGCAACTGGTGAGAAATATGCAGACAAGAGAACGCTTGTTTCTCTTCACAGGTCCGTTTAGTGGCCGACAGATGATGAGTCCCAGCACTCGGAGCAATGACACCATGAGTGGAATTTCTTCCCTGGCCCCCAGTAAACACTCAAGTTCCTCACACAGCCTGGCATCTGTTAGTCAAACATTTTACACATTTTAGTAAGTCCTTTTTGCTTACCGTTTGTTTTAATTCAGAGCTTCCTAATGTGTATTTTTGTGCGTATTTCTGTGGCATAGATGCGAGTCCCAAGCTCTCCAAATCCGTCTGCCAATCCGTCCACGCCCTGGGAAGCAGAGCCTGTGGTGGAAGAGTCCGGGGCAGTAGAGGATTCAAATGCAGAGAATCTCTATTTAATGGGTGGGTATTTACTATTACTCATAAGTTAATATATTAAATAGATAGTGTTTTTACCATGTTATAGGAGCCATAATTTTAATACTGAATTGCAACACAGCATTTCCAACATGGTGTTTAAGCACTAACCTTCTGCTGATGTCAGTGTGGAACAAGTGGAGAAAATCTAGGATATAATCGGATGAAAGTTGGACTCTTGGACCCAGAGTGCTGTTGTTTTGTATTTTGATTATTCTGTTCTTCACGATCTATTTAAATTCTCTTTTTTTCCCTATTTTGGAACTGTACAGATTCAGGTCACTTAACTTTGCATTAAGCAATATTTTTGATAAAGTAATCATATCCACAGTGCTGAAAACAGTAAGAAATAACGCCAAACTCTGCTGCTCTGTGCTACTTTTAGCTCAACATTTTGTTTTGCTCACAAATAGTTCGCTTAAGTCTAATCGCCTTTTTCCTTCTAGGGATGGAGCTGTTCGAGGAAGCTCTACAAAAGTGGGAACAGGCCCTGAATATTCGCCATCACACCCACTCGACCTCGAGCAACAACAGCCTCGCTCTGCAGGGAGCAACGTGTCGAGACTTTCCTTTGGTAAACATCTAATAATTATTACCAGAACAGACTAATTGAAATTCTTGATTAATTTCCAGTTTTAGTGCATGATTGTATTTTATGGTGCGGTTAGGTTTTCCACTGCTGTACTTGTGATGTTATTGGTTTGGTGATGAATTGTGAATTGTACTGCATTGGTGCTGAGGAGACACAGCACAATTAAAAGAAATTAAGTTGCTCGTGAACGTAAGCTTTTTATTAGATACTATTAAAGTAAATTTCGCCCTGTTTTATTTTAATTTTTTTCTTCTCCCCTCTTCGTTATAGGGTGAAACCCGTAACAAAGTGTTTGCAGAGAAGTTGGAGACACTACTGCACAGGGCCTACCACCTACAAGAGGATTTTGGCAGCACTATCCCAACAGACAGTGTGCTGGCAGACTTTGGTAAGAGTCATATTGAACTTTAAATGACCTTAACAGAAGGTAGGAGTAGGATTCATACAGAGTTTTGGTCTGTATCAACAGTAATACCGTTTTTTTTTTACAGTGGGAGCATACGTTTTATATTTCTGTTAAGTACATCTGTGCTTTGATTCTTTCCCTGTCAGTCAGAGTTTATGTTGTTCCTTTGGCAGAGAGTGAAGGAACTCTTGTCTTGCCTCAAGTGGAGAGTTTCCACAGACTGCAAGATGATGATGCGACTACTGTTACCTCTGAAGATTCCTTCTTCTCGGCTGCAGAGGTGAGCTCCGTTCCTCTACTCTCTAAAGACTGACAGAAAACAAGACACATAATAGCAGTCACTGGTTTCCCAGGGCCCCCTGGTATTTGTATAAATACACACACTAGTACACTCTTATGTCTTGCAGATGCATTCTGCTTTTATATAAAACAGATGTGGATTGTACACTTTGTTTTGTCCGTGCAGCTGTTTGATGCCATGTCTTTAGAAGAGGTCTACCCGTCACTTAAGCCTGCAGCTCTCTATGAAGAAGCCTTGTCAATGGTTCGGGAGGACAAAGTGGCCTATAGGTCCCTGAGGTAACTATGAAGTGTAACATTGTACCTAAATACACTACAGCTACACTAATCAGTATTTTTATATATGAACAGTTAAATGACTATGTACGAACCCACAGAGAATTACAACTCCACTTTGCAGTTACCCTCGACTCTATGGAGTTTTTTAATGTCTTTCCGCTCATTGTTTTGGTTTTTCAGTCCACAAATTTTGCAGCTGTTTCGGTTCACCCTCCATGCTCTCATCAGTGTCATTTCCACATGCAGCAGGCAGCTGTTTTCACCAGAAAAGCTCCAAAACAGACAAAGTTAGCAACTAGCTGGGGAACATATTGGAGCATTTAGCAGCTAAAGAGCCAGATATTTTTCTCAGGAGTTTGGTGAAAACAAAAACAGAGCTTTAAAGAGAGCGAACAAGGGACGTAACATCAAGTGACCAGAAACACGACTCCAAATGAATAATGTCAATATTTATAGCATGTTCCACTTCTCCCAAGCTGCCAAAAAAATCTATTTATACTGCTTTAAATGTACAGTGGGTAATAGAACAATGTGTCACTGAGCTTCATACCTCTCTCTCTATTTACCAGGACGGAATTACTTGAATGTTTTGGTGACCAAGACTTCCTTGCCAAGCTCCATTGTGTGAGACAAGCATTCCAGGTCTGTTTAAGCTCATATGACTTATCCATATTATTATATTATTCTCTTTGTATGGATGATTGCCAGTTATTTATGTTTTGACCTCCAAAAACCTCATCAAAACCCTGTTGTATAGCATTACAAGTGGTCAATAGTTTAGTCTTGTTTGTAGTCTTATTTAAACCAAACTAAGAAAGCACCCATAGACGTCAGCGTTTTTCCATGCTCTGTTGGCTGTGTTGACGTAAGCAAGTCACCTAATATAGTATAGATCTCTTTCTCTTTTTGCTGCTGTTATCATCTCGGATCTCATACAGTGCCTGTAATGACACCCTAGTAGAAACCTTGCAGCACATTCCAACAAACCTGAGTTTGTGATCTGCTGCCTTTGTGCAAGTCTTAGCACCCACAGGCGGTGAGTCAGGTTTCTTTGCTTCGGGGACATCCAGACAAAAGGTGAGGTCAAATAAATAGACCGCAGCTGCAATCAGGAGAGGTGACTTATGGTGTGCTTTTAAAAAATGGATGATACTATAGTCGTCGTCTCTACAACTTCAGATTTTTAGCTTTGCTCTTTAGTCTCAGGCAAGCGTCTGTACTGACGTGGAAATTCAATCCAGTGACTCTACACAAGTTTGTTTTCTATGGCATGTGTGGACGGTTGCACAGCTGGAGTTGAAGCAAGTCGTGTTTTTGTGTTTTCAGTGGCTGTGTTGAATGAGTGTACTTTGCTTTGCATTGATCAATCCCTCCCACTGATGAGATGATTCACTTTGAAGTTAACTATGGAGATAAATCCAATGTTCACTGTATGATAAAGAAAATAAAGAAATCACTATAGATAATGGATGATAATGCTTTTTTTTTCTTCAGGTCTTGTTGTTAGATGAAACTCACCGCACATTTTTCATGGAGACCGGGAAGCAAATGATTACAGGTTTAATGGTGAAAGCAAACAAGGTAAACGACTACTCATTTGGATCCTCTGTTATTAACTTGTCCTGTTTTGTTTAACAGGACAAGCTTCTGCTTCATGGACATATTTGCACAGCTGTAACTAATTCCTGCGTTGTAATTCCTGTTGTGTTGTGTCACAGAGTCCCAAGGCCTTCCTGGAGAGCTATGAGGACATGCTGCTTTACACTCAGAGAGAGGAAACGTGGCCCATCACTAAGATGGAACTGGAGGGCAGAGGGGTGAGTAAGGCTGTCATTCATGTCACGTTATCTCCTCTTCATTTTGTTTTCCAGCATGTCCGCACTTAGGTGCAATTGTTAGACCCTGTGTGTGCTCTCGTGAATGTGTTTACAGTGGCTCAAAAGGCTAATTAGGCTATATTACAGTGTCAGTCTTTGAGTAGACCAAAATGGCTAACGTTAGCTAGCATGCTCCTGTTGACAGGTATTAAAACTTACTTCCAGTTCTCACTGAAGAATAGACAACCCGCGTTTACCACGTCTCCCCAACCGTTTTCTCATCCAGGCTCGTTTAGCCTTCTGCCTCTGTTTTTTCTCACTGAAAAGCATTAAAGTTACTACAAAGTGTGCCACTACGTGAGTCTCCATTTTATTTACATCTGCTACATTTTGTTCTAAGCATATATGTTTATTGGTTTATTCATGGGAACAGCGATGCTCAGGTTTACATGAACTTGAGACATCCTGTGTCTAACCTGAATTAAACTTTAACTGAAGTACGGCCAACAGTCGGGTTACTCTGTGCTTTACTCAGTGTAAAGCTCACTTTCTGTAGTTGATTGTGCAACTGGCAAACAATCCATCTTTGTATAAATGATTGATTTGGCACAATACGCATCACATCTAAAGAGCCGCAATGCACATGTGGTCGTTGCTCTTTAACTTTCAACTCAACATAATTGCTGAAATCGCCCACAGAGGTTAATTAACAAGCGCCATCCTGAAATACATGCGCCATGAATGTAATGTTAGTCACTGTCCTGTTAAACACAGTGTTGGGGTTTTCATGTCATGATCTCTGCAGGTGGTGTGCATGAGCTTTTTTGACATTGTGCTGGACTTCATCCTGATGGACGCATTTGAAGACCTGGAGAGCCCCCCCTCCTCTGTGGTAGCTGTGTTGAGGAACCGCTGGCTCTCTGACAGCTTCAAAGAGACGGTTAATTTATACACACAGACACAGACACA